CTTTTCCACTTCAAATCACCACGTGCCCTGCCACCCCTCGAGCCCTGTGCACTGCCACTTGGTCACCCTTCGCGGTCGGCCCTTTTCATGGTCGGCCTCTCCACTTGGCCACCCTTTGTGGTTAGCCCTCCTCATGGTCGGTCCCTCCACTCGGCCACCCTTCGCGGTCGGCCCTCTTCATGGTCGGTCCCTCCACTCGACCACCCTTCGCAGTCGGCCTTCCTTATAGTTGGTCACCCTTCTCGGTCAACCTTCACCCTGCCGGTCTCTCACAACCCTCATTTTCTTCATTATTTCCTTCGTTGGACTAAAGCTGCACTTGGGAATAGGGGACTACTGACATGGGTAAGCCCGTAAAGATTATAGTCCACTATTTAGGGCCCAATACATAACTCAAATACTAAAACCCCAGCATTGCTGAAGCCCCACGTAGCAATAAGAACCAATGACATCAAGACACATGGCAAGAGAAAGGCAAGCCACATAAGCAGACAAAGATCTGCAAAATTATTGCCACTGCACATCGCCATTAATGAAGCTCCTTACAGCATATGCGATAACCCTTCTTTGTCGAGACAAAACGCCTTCATTATGAACAAGGTAAGCTAGAGCATAAGCTTTCGGCTAAGGTGACAGGTTGGAAGGGACAACAAAATGATTACTAGAGGATATAAGCAGACGTGGAAGACAAGAAAAAGGTTAAGCTTTCTAACTCCAATCTATCTCTATATTCCACCTTTCTCTCTCTAACTTGCTCGTCGGAGAGTTCGCTGGGGGATTCCCCGTTCCCCGTTGAACTTTTGTGCAGGTTCCTCTGTGGGCTTGGTCACTCGGACACCGGTTTGGGAAGCGTGGATCAGTCCGACCCGTTCCGTCTAGAACCCGGTGAATCATCAAAATGATTATTTTTTTACACTCCATTTAATATGTGTTTGTATTCATGTTTTTTGAATACAATCGCATGGTGATTGTATTTTTAGTCTATGTTTTTTGAAAAAAAATAGATTGTATTTATTAGATTCACATAAAGTAGTCACTGTATTTTTTTTAAAAAAAAAGATTGTGCTTTTTAACTATCAATTAACTTAATTTGTATGTTTTTTTAATTTTTTTTTTATTTTTTAATTACCAATTGACTTTATTGTTTTTCAATACGGTGATTGTATTTTTACACTCTATTTGATTGATGATGATTGGATAGTATTTTGTGATTGTGATTTGACTTAATTTATTTTTTAATACGGTGATTGTATTTTTAATCTATGTTTTTGGAAAAAAAGATTGTATTCATTAGGCTGACATAAACTACGCACAGTGATTTTATTTTTTTAAATGATTATGTTTTTTTACACGCCATTTAATATGTGTTTTTTGAAAGAAAAAAATTGATTGTATTCATGTTTTTTTTTTAATACAATCACATGATGATTGTATTTTTAGTCTATGCTTTTTTTTAAAAAAAAATTAGATTGCATTTATTAGATTCACATAAAGTAGTCACTATATATATATTTTTTAATTTAAAAAAAGGTTGTGCTTTTTAACTATCAATTAACTTAATTTGTATGCTTTTTTTAAAATAATTTTATTTTTTAATTACCAATTGACTTCATTATTTTTCAATATGGTGATTTGTATTTTTACACTCTATTTGATTGATGATGATTAGATAGTATTTTGTGATTGTGATTTGACTTAATTTATTTTTCAACACAGTGATTGTATTTGTAATCTATGTTTGTTGAAAAAAAAAAATTAGATTGTATTAATTATGCGCACATAAATTACGCACTATTGATGATGATGATTACATTATATTTTTTAACTCACTGTATTTTTTTTTAAAAAAATGATTGTGCTTATTAACTATTAATTAGCTTAATTTTTGATTGGGTTTTTAACTCACTGTACTTTTTGAAAAAAAAATAATTGTATTTTTTAATTTTCAATTGATTTCATTGCTGTTTTTTTAATTAGCTTAATTTGTGATTGTGTTTTTTTACACTCTATTTTGATCACACAATGATTTTATTTTTTATAATGATTGCGATTTTCTATACTTCTTTTAATATGTGTTTTTTAAAGAAAAAAAAGATTATATTTATATTTTTTTAAAAAAAATTAAATTATATTTATTAAGTTCACATAAATATTTTTTAAAATATAATTCCGTACACAACACAGATGATATATTAGTTTACATATGCTAGCATAGTGACATTAATTGGCACAGATGATATATTAGTTCAAATATGCTAGCATGGTGACATTAATTGGTCTTAAAATAAAAATAAATTCTCGCAACAAAACCAAACAGCCTAGAATCCGTCGGGAAATTTTACTGCACGCGCCAGGTATCTGGTAGTCTCATGCGTCTCCTAACTCAATGGCCACTGGCTTTCCAGTCTGAGTCTGTCCGACCAAAAAAAAAAAGGGTCAAAACGACGTCGTTTTACACTCAAAATCTGTCAAAACGACGTCGTTTTGACAGATTTGAGCCATTTGAGCCACAAAATTTTGAGCTACGTAGCATTGTTGCAAGAATAATATCTCCACATGGAGACCTTAAAGGAGATAACAAACGGCCACTGCTCACGTGGGCTCTAACGAGAGAGAGTGAGAGACTACGTCCAAAAGAAAAATTATTCACTCAGTTTATTTTTAGTTTTCAAAATTTATTTTTAAAATTTTTTTACTTTTTACTTTTTTTTTACTCAATTTTTTTAATATTTTAAATATATATTTTTTAATTTTTAAATATACCTAAAATAAATATACTTAAAAAACATAATATTTGTGAATTTTTAAATATTAAAATATAAAAAAATACAAAAATTCAATATATATATATATATATATTTTTATATTTTTGGGTATTTATTAATTTTTTAAAATATTTTTTCATAAATAATTTACTATTTAGATATATCTAATTAAGATACATTTAAAAAAGTATAAAAAATTACTTAAAATTTAAAAAATATTCACTAAATAAAAAAAAATACGAAAAATAAAAAATTCAATTTTCAAAAAACTGAAATCAAACACACTAATTCATTGCTCAAGGCAAATTTAAGGCCTCGTTTGGGGAGTAACTATTTTAGTCAAAAAGTCAAAAAATCTTTATAAGTTATCACATTACTCTCTCTATTTTTTGTATATATTTTCGTAAAAAGTAAAAAAATTACTAAAATAGTTTGTTCCAAACGAGACCTAAGTGTGCCCCTAACTTAAATATTGTTGGTTGAAATAGTGGGTCCTATTATTTATTTGTCTTTTTTGGAGTCCAAATATAATGGTGTGGAGCAATACTATGAAATTTATTATAAATTAATAATTATATATATAAAAAATATTATGTAAAATCAGTTTGTGTTATATATATAAAAAAATATTATGTAAATTAATGTTACATATTATGCAAATATTTAATAATTGGTTAAAATATGTTTCAATTCTTCAATTTGCTCAAAATCGTTCAAATCGCAATTTACTAATTTGTCAATTTATTAATTTGCCATTTAATTTATAATTTTACTCTCAAATCGTCTGAACTATACCATGCACACCCTTACTCAAGGGGCAATGAATAATTTCTCCCAAATCAAAATTTAGAGATTATTGATTGATCTTGGCCACCGTCACTTGATGTTTAACATTATTGTAATTTATAACAAGAGTGAAGCTTATAAATTTATGTTACAATAATGCTGTAGATCCTTAAAAAACATATTCTTATAAACTCCATTTACCTGTGATTGATCCCAAAAAAATAAAAAAATAAAAAAAATTCATGATTAAATCACATCATTTTAAAGGTCATAAAAATTCCTAACTTTAGTGATCTCAAACAATTTGGCCTTGTTTGGTTTGACTTTGGAAGATAAATTTCAAAAAATATTTTAGAGAGAGAGTTTAGAAGTTTTTGTAATTTGTTTGATTGTATATTTTGAAAATAGTTTTGAAGTTTGAGAGTTTAGGATGATTTGATATTTTGTTGTAATTGAGTAGATGTATGCGAAAGAAAAAATAATTGAAAAGAATAGAGGAAAGAGAAAAATTACTCCCTCCGTCCCAAAATATTAGTCCCTTATTCCATTTTTCATTGTCCCAAAATATTAGTCCCTCTTTATAAATCAAGTACAAAAATAATGTAAATTTCCTATTTTGCCCTTCTTTTTAATTAATAAACAATTTAAAAAGTACAATTATGACATTGATATTCCCAAAAAATGTACTATCAAAAGGGTAATTTTGAAAAACCAACTTTTTTCAAATGCAATAAGTGTACTACCAAAAAAAGTTGGATTCCCCAAAAGGGACCAATATTTTAGGACGGAGGGAGTAATTGATTGATGTGTAGGAAAGAGAAAGTAATTTTAATTTTTTTTAAAAAAAAATTACAAACCAAACAAAATTTCTAAAATTTTTTCCAAAATCTTTTTTCCAAAAGCGAAACCAAATCAGGCCTTTATATATTATATAATTGAGGAACAATGTTAGAGGGCCACAATTTTTGTGGTCATAATGGCTCAAAACTGTCAAAACGACGTCGCTTTAAGTATAAAACATGCCAAAATAATATCGTTTTGATAATTTTAAACCATTATAACCATAAAAATTATGACTTCCAAACATTTTCCATTGAAAAATATGAGTAACATGGCCATATCTCCTGTACTAACTACTCCCTCCGTCCCAAAATATTAGTCCCTTATTCCATTTTTCATTGTCCCAAAATATTAAAAAAAAATTACAAACCAAACAAAATTTCTAAAATTTTTTCCAAAATCTTTTTTCCAAAAGCGAAACCAAATCAGGCCTTTATATATTATATAATTGAGGAACAATGTTAGAGGGCCATAATTTTTGTGGCCATAATGGCTCAAAACTGTCAAAACGACGTCGTTTTGAGTATAAAACATGCCAAAACGATATCGTTTTAATAATTTTAAACCATTATAACCATAAAAATTGTGACTCTCAAACATTTTCTATTGAAAAATATGAGTAACATGGCCATATCTCCTGTACTAACTAATAATTTTCCATTAAAACTTCACACGGAGCGTTGGATTCGGACACGGTTCCCTCCCTTTCACCCGACACGTGGCGTCTTACGCAGCGGCAATTGCGTCATCACAGCGACGTCGTCTAACCATCCCCTCATTCTTTATTCCCCCAAGGGCGGCCACCATCGATCAATTCAGTGTTTGAAGCAACCCTCCCTCCTCCCCCCTCCTGGTGGAGGAGCTTTTAGAGAGAAGAAATCTTCAGGTCCATATCTCTCTCTCATCTTATTGCAATGTAAAACAATTTACTCTTTTTTAATTGTGCAGATTCAATGATCATTGCAGTGTTTTTTAATTTGATTATTTTAAATCGATTTGGATTATATTATTATAATGTAGGTGAATTATTGGTAGTTGTTCAGGTAATCTTGTTCTGATTTCATTTGTTTGTCGCGGGATCAGAGGCGGGCTCTGAATCCGAAGTCATCGGATATATTCCGCGTGTGGTGTTGGTAGTGGTGGAGGTTGGTGGTTTTGCGATGGAGTGGTGGCACAAGATGATGTTTCCTATCCAAAGACTTTGGATCGTTGTTGCCAAGCGTCTTGGGATTCGCAAAAGCGGTGAGGATTCTCAAAAATTTTTTTTTTTTGGAGCAACGAATTTTGATTTCTGATTATTATCACAGTAAGATCTTTAAATCTGCTGAATTGTTAGAGAAATCATTCTCAAATGGCATAATTTTACATTATCAAATAGGTTCTTCAGATTTGTATTTTGAAAACCGGCATGAAATGTGAAATAGAGTCACTCAATTTCAAAGGAGGCCCAATCATTCTTTATGTTTGGAAAAAGTGTGAATCTGAATCAATTCACTTGATCGCCTTCATGTGTCTGGATAAGGTATCTGGTCTGGAAAATTTTCCAATTGTGTATTGCTCATAATAACTTTTCATGTTATGAAGTTGTTGGTTCGTATATTTGTAAATTGTATATATATATTTTTTGTTAATTTGTATTTGGCTCTCAACCGACTAATTCAGGGACTAATCACACCGTCCACTATCGGGGCCCAATTAAAGCTGGGTAAAGTCTCGTATGAATTGGCTCCAAGAAATTGTTTGAAAACCTATATGTTGTGTTTGGTTGAGGAATATGGGGGGAGGAATTTGGAAAAGAAAAGGGAAAAAGTGAATGAAACTAAATGAAATTTAAGTATATTTTATTTATATTTTACCCACCTTTTCTATTTCTCTTTCCAAATCCCTCCTCAAATCTCCCAATCAAACATAACAATAAGGTTTTAAACCTGAGATCAAATTCCCCAACCAAACACAGTAATAAGATTTTGAACCGGAGAATTTGGAGGGAACATACCCCAAGCTCCAAGCAATCCCTTGGGGCATATTGCCAGTCATTATTTCTTGTGTTGATCTTAATTATTATTAGGTAGATAGTAGTCATGACTAGTTGATTGGTTCAAAATTTATCTTCTTTGTTCATGGATAACTGATGAAAATCACTTTAATCAGTTTAATTACATAAAACATCATGTTCGAAAAAACATCATATACCCAAAAAACACACAAATAAATGTTGTTAGCCATATTGAGAAAGCAACCCCATTCCGACTATATACCACAAATAATTTCTTCTTTTCGTATTCCATCTAGCAAGTGTGTAAACTGAAATGGCTGTGGTAATTGCTTTTGAAAACATGTAGGGCTAGTCAAGCTTCGCCATGATGTGAGGACTTGCGAGTACGAGGATGTCCATGTGTTGTGGGACATGCTGAAGAGAAATGAAATTGAGTCCACTGGTTCCAAGACGAAAAAGAGACATTTCAAGCAAATCTGTGATTGGTCCAGGCGTGCTCCATATCTTTGTTGCAGCTTTTGATCATGTTTGATTTGTGTGGCCTCATAAGCTTAAAAACTACATTTGCTGTATGTAAAGTTATTGATATGGAATTTGGTTGATAAGAATAACCATAGAGGGGCTCCTTTATGAGGTCACTGCTTCTCCTATTGAACCCGCCATCTGTAAAACTCTTGATGTTTGTCTCGTGGATATGGTCGTTTACTGTGTCCTCTCCATGCTCTTTCTTGCAAAATGAAATGTTGTGTGTTATGTATGTTCTTTGTGTTGTCATTCTGGTTTGTTCATCATTTAATATATATGCATGTATTATATTTAGACTTCTAATGGAGTAATATCGTTGTAGCACTTGATTGTTATTTTGAGCTTTTGCTTTCTGTCTTGGTTTGGATTGTTTGAATGATATTGTTCAGATTGATTTTCATATGGTCATGATTTGCAATCAATTACTATGGATAAGCTGAAGAATACTTCTATGCGAGTGAAATTTTGGTTGAGTTTTAGAATTATAATTTGATAATAGAGTTGTATTTTGAGTTTGTGAGTTTTAGAATTATGATTTGAAAAGAGAGAATTTGTTTGGTTATGAGTTTTGAATTTTTGATGTGACACATGAAATGAGAAAAATTGTTTGGTTATGAGTTTTGAAAAGAGTTTCAAAACTTAATTTAAAAACTTAAATTTGGCCCGGCCCGGCCTCATGTTGGGTCTCGCGGACTCTCGCCAAAATTCGGGCCGGGCCGGGTTATGGGCAAAAAAATTAAGCCCAGGCCTAGACTTAAGCTCAGGGGTATTCGGGCCGATGGGCCGGGCCGAGCCTGGCCTTAGGCGTGCTTAACCATTTTTTTTTGTTTTCTTAAATTTTTTTTACTAAAATTTTATTATTTTTCATTAAAAAATACACTGGGTCTCGGGCGAGCTGGGCTTCAAAACAATGGCCCAGGCCCTAGGGTTGCAAACGAATTGAACTGAGTCGAGATTTGCTGAGCTCGAGCTCGGCTCGTTTACTTTTCGAGCTTGTTTATTAAGCTCGATCCCGGCTCGATAAGAAATTGAGCTCGAGCTCGGCTTAGCTCGATAATTTTTTTTAATATTATTTATATATATTTATATATTATTTAATGTATAAATAATACATTTATTATATAATTTAAATAAAAGTAAACGAGTTGAGCTTAATGAGCCGAGCTTATGCGAGCTCGAGCTTGGCTTGTTCATGAACAGCTCGGTTTATTTGCAGTCCTACCTGGGCCCAAGTGGGCCTAAACAGGCCGGACCCATCTCGGGCCGCGGGCGGGCTTCACACACGGGCCGCGGGCTATTTTTACACCCCTATCAAACACACAATTCAAAATTCTATTGAAAATTCTATTCAAAACTAATAACCAAATTCGTTTTAACATTCAATTCATTTTTTTTTTTGTCATTTTAGTCTTAAAAAAATAATTTTTATATTTAAAAAATATTGTAAGATACAAATAACGCAGCGAGTAAAAGGATTCAAATCATACCTCATGTGATAGAATCCGAAACGAAGAGCCTTGTAGGTAAATCACGTACTTCACAACCACGAATTAAGAATACTCAACAATGGAGTGATACCACAGTATGAGTATAACCCACTCTAGTCATAATGCAAAGGTTTGATCGTTATTCTAATAGGAGAGAGTTAGAAAGAGAGTATGAGAAAAATTAATTTGTTATATGATTTATCCCACATCCCATATATCGTATCTAATATAGGATGACCATCTAACTATCTATCCATATCTTTTGATAAGATGTGATAGATATAGATAGTGATAGTGGGTTATCCAAATAGGATCAACCTGAAAATTCAAATTCAAATTACACGGGTAATTTGAATGGGTCATGGTCATGCCACATGGGCACCCAAATCCGGATCCAATACCCGACCCAATTTTCAACATCTCCCACTCACACATGAGTTGGCATGACACTACCACATCTCTATCTTAATCTCCCTAAATATTGAACAATCTCATATTAGCCAATGAACCGTGCGACCGCTGAGGATACTTGCATGTGGGAGCTCTATATTAGAAACTTAAAATGAGCCAACATAGAGACATCAACCCCCAAAAGAATAGAAATAGTGTCTCATGTACCTAGACCCATCTAGTTATATTGGTTCAAAACATCTCTAATCCCTCAAAGAGCATGTTTGGCCCTCCTAAGTCGTGTATTATATTCACATTCAATAAGAATCCCATACAAAGTGATGTGAGTTGTCGACAGTGAATATAGAGCAAAGATGTAGAACTAGATGATTTTCCCTTCACCCTCATATCATTTAACTCAGAATTGACCATTTTTCCAGTAATGTCTCTTAAAGCTGAATCATACATGATCGCAGGCAACATACCAAAGTAGCTGAACATCAACTCCTCATCTTATAAGATAGTCAAAGGTCACAAAAGGTACAAAGTGAAGTCATTGGAAAAAAATGACTTTTAGGACTCACACGGTGAGGAAGCAGGGATCCATTCTCTCACTTCGCTAATGGGTCAATAAGCACATGCAGTACGAATGCATGCTATAGTGGAGTAACTTTTCCAAAGAGTGATGTTAAACTCACACACCATACAAATTTTAGTCTAGTTACTTTTAAGTGCGCAAGTCCCTTCCTAGCGTCTAACTCGAATTTTCTATTTGCTCGTCTCTCAGGCATCAAATGAAATCTCGCATCTGGCTATCCATAACAGGCCCATCATGGAAAAGTAGATACTCTCATATCTATGGTTGGTCTCTAACAAGACCTTATCTTGGCTCTAACCAAGGCAGCATAGCTTGTGGATAATTTTAGCCTCTCTCTTGGCTCCAAATTCAATGAGTCACTAGTCTCATCCTGGCTTACTACCTAGTGCTAAGGGCGATTACTCGTGTGATTAAGCCAATCTTTCCTGCTAACATCAAATTTATTTATTCTGTGTGTGCTAATTCACAAATCATGGCAAAAAATAGTAAACATAATTGTGTAATCAAAACAAATATGAATACTTATGGCATAAATATCCCCAAAAAATAAGAGTTCAATTGAATACACGTGTTTGATTGGGGGGATAAGGGGGGAGACTATTTACTGTGCGGATTGTAATCCGGGAGAAGCATCCAATCGGCCGTTTGTTTTTTTTTTTAGTCCGCCGGAAATGGAGTCCGGCCGGACTCCTTATCCCCCATGTGGGGGACTATTGTATCCTAGGAGGGGGGGTATGGGACAATTTTTGGGGGACTATCCACTGTTGGAATTAGGTGGTAAAATGACCATTTTGACACTCTACTATTTAATTATGTATTATATTTAATAAAATTTAAATGTCTCAATTTAAAAATAAAAAAATTTTATTTAACTTTTTATTGATGTTTTATTTATTTAATTTTTTTAAAATAATTTTTTATAGATATTTTATTGATGTTTTATTTTAAATTTTTGTTTATATTTTATTTAATTTCATTATTTAAATTTTAATAGATGTTTTGTTTAATTTTATTATTTTATTATTATTTTTAAAAACAAATTTATTTAAAATTTTAATTAAAAAAATAACATATATTTTTATTGATATTTTATTTATTTTATTTATTTAATTTTAAAAAATAAATTTATTTAATTGTGTAAAAAATAAAATAAAATAAAATTTTATTTAATCTAGCTAAAAATAATTAAAATATTAAATATATGTTTAATATTGCTATTACTTAGTAAACAATTGAAAAAGGGTAAAATAATCTTTTGCTCATTTATCCTATCCAGTCCGTCCAACCAAACGTTGGATTCACTAAAAATATTCATTTCCAGACATCTAATCCCATGAAAAAAACAAATAAAGGATACATATTCAATTCAACCAAATAGTTCAGGGAATTCACAGTCCTAGGACTCAAGTCCGATGGATTCTAATCCCCCTTTATCCAGTCCATCAAATCAAACACACCCATATATCACCACCTACGTAACATCTCTGGCAATGGACAAGGGTCCACAACCATGTGACTCGTAGGGATGTGCTCCAGGATCACTTCCTTTTACGTCACAATGTCTCTGATAAAGTTGAACCTCACATCAATGTGTTTGGTTTTCTCATGGTACTTAGGATCCTTAGCGTAAGCGAGTGCAGCTATGCTGTCACAATGGATAGTCACAGGGTTTGAAGTGTGTGTGACAATATCCAAATGCTGAAGGAATCTCCTCAACCAAACGGCTTCCTAAACGCTAGATGGACAAGCTACAAACTCAGCCTCTATAGTCGATAAGGCGATACAGGATTGCTTCTTACTGCTTTAAGAAACAGCACTATCACTAAGCATAAAAGCATATCATGAAGTGGACTTACGCTCATCTAAGTCTCCTCCTCAGTCAGCATCACAATAGCTAACTAGATGTAGATCTGAACTTTGGTAGCAAAATGTGTAATCTGCAGCCCCTCTAAGATATCTTAATATCCTTTTAACTGCTTTCCAATGAGTTGGTCTTGGGTTGGATTGGTAATGACTCACCAATCCGACTGCATAACAAATGTCAGGACGTGTACACATTATAGCATATATCAAGCTTCCAACAACATTCGCGTAGGGTACACGGGCCATCTTTTCAATCTCTTCTGGAATCTTAGGACCCATATCATGGCTTAGGCTCTCACCTCTTACAAC